CAGTAACAAAATTCAAATAAGTCTCAAGCCACTGTATTTCGTATCACTTCAAATGCTGTAATAAGATTTTCTTCATATGAAAACTTGAATTGTTTAACATATACTTTTATCATAAGTTAACTAATTATGCGCGATATCAAAATAGAAAATCAAGAAAAATAAACTCAGATTTCAAATCAAAACAAAAGCAAGATCTTTATGTATAGAATAAACCAGATTGAAAACCATATTCAATAAGTTTGTCGTTTATCATTCTATATTGACTTAATTTCTATTGTTCTTGTCATTGTTGAAGAAAATGTGAAAAATGATCTTTAGATATCAAACCATTCTATTACAAAATCGCATATATTTATTGAAAATTCTTGTATCGACTATTGTTTTATATTATCAATCAAATTAATATAATCGTGTTATTTAAATAATTCAATGATATATTGATATAAAATATCTTGTCGAGTTGAATGACTATTGATAAGAAATTGTTTATATGTATGAAGTCAATCATGATTATTTGATGGTTGAATTGAATAACGATAATTAAGTAAAAATTGACCAAGTTTCTTTTGGTGTATTAGACTAAATATGATAGAAAAAACAAATGTTTGTATGTTGTATGTTGTATTTTGATTTTACTTCATCTTGATTATCAAAAAGTGTAATCAGTAATGTCGTATGTTCTAGTTTGATAGTTCGTATATTTCTACAGATGAATCTAGTAAACATTTTTTCAATGAAAAAATAAAAACAAAATTATTAGAATAAATGATTAAAAAAAACACCTTAGCATACCCGATATTGAGGGAAGTTGTTGTTATTCAAGAATTGTTCTCATGATATGTCCAGCGAAACGATCACAAAGAATAAGTTCTAATTCACTCTAAATCTTTTCTCCATACACATCTATAATTACATATATAATATGATGATTAAATTCAAAAGTAAAGAAATCTTTTTTTTATACCATATAAAGTTGTAACAGATGTATGAATTGGCTCTAAAACATCAGGTTCATGTATATATACATCAGATGAGAGCAAACCAAAGAATCTTCAATTAAAAAATGTTAGACTTACCGAAAATAATGTAGAATTCGAATAGAATTTTCTTATAATTGTTGAAGAATATTTCCATTAAAACGAATACGATTTAATCTAAGATTAACAATTCTATGTTTATCGATTGATAAACCAATCTGCATTCAACATAATTCATTAAATTAATATTTTATATGATATATTAATTTAAAAATGACAACATAGTTTTTGACACTTGAATAATTTAAGAGGAGTAATTTGCTTTACAATTCAAAGATAGAATTGACAAATTGGTCCTGGTTTATTCTCACAAGAAGATGCTTTTATCCTGCTCAGTCGAAGCGACGAACGTCACTTGTCTGTTTATGAAAGTAAAATGATCATCAGATTCGAGTTTTTGCACAAAACTAGCTGTAGAATTGAATTTCACATCGACTGACAGTTCTTGATTCTCGATAAAAAATTATAGTAACTCAGGAACAAATAAAAAAACTGCTAGAACAGCTTATGAATCGAGTAATTTGTGAGAAAACTTAAATCTGTCGATACCTTTATGATCATGAACTCATTGTGCATACATTTGTGCGAGAAGTGAACATGTTTGGTTCTTCAATATTTAGTCACATTCGAAAATGTAAGATTAGAATTTTGCCAGAAAAAACGATATTTTTTAAGGATACACCAGAATGTGTATCTTCCTATCATATCAATAGTTCAGACAGAAATTGAAAAATAATGGTTATATTTTAATAAATTGTATTGTATTATCGATAGTAAATTTAAACTTCTTTGTTGTTTGCAATCCCATCTTTTTAATAATATAAATTCAGAACATTATGGATGCTGAACTTCTATGCTTTGTGTAAAGCTTTTTATTTAACATACTACTCAAAGATTCTGTATAATATTATATATAAAAATATTTTTCTCTGTTGATGAAAACAGAATTTTGTAAATACTAATATCTAACCTATTACGTAATTATCATTCGGAATATTTCTTAAGTTATATTTATTTAATGTCTTCCGTGACAATATGTTCAATATATTATTAGGATCTTTTTCTTCATCTCTCAATGAGCAAATATACAGTACATTTTCTTTATACAATTAATAAGTAGTATAGAAAGAAAGAAAGAAAGAAAGATGCTCTTGTTCTTCTTTTGTTATGTACTGATGTATTTTGTATTTGGCATCATAAATATATCTATAATAGGAAGGCAAACTATATCTGGTTGGTTCGAGAAAAATATTTCTTTCTTTTCTCCCAAAGATATGCGATGGGTCATAAACAACAAAAATAACGTTAACAAAATATAACTAGCAAGTTTTTTTCTTTGCTATCTCCTTCCTCTTTCTATAAGGATAACTTATTCTTGTTCTACGCCTACCTACCGCGTTGTCTTATTATATATATATATATAGAATATTGTAGAAGCCATTACAGTCGTACATATTAATACAATATCGAATAGTTTAGGATATTACTGAATAGAAAAATATGACAACACCGCATTTTTGTGATCGTTGTGCCACATGTGGTAAAAGTTTTGGTCGAACAGAAGCACGTACAATATTTAATAATAAAACTTATCATCAAAATTGTCTTAAATGTGCTAAATGTCGTAGTCCACTAAGTGGTAATTTTTATCCAACATTAGAAGGTTTTACATGTGAACAATGTCATAAACGTGTATCAACACGTTGCAAACGTTGTGGAAATACAATTGAATCAGGTATACGATATAAATTATACAAAGGACAAGAATATCATCCAGAATGTTTTTGTTGTTGGTCATGTAATTCACTAATAAATGAAGGTGAACAATTTTATGAACTACGAGGTTATCCACAATGGTAAGATTAAAATTTAAAATCTTTTTTCTTATTGATTTATTTTTATTTCTATAGTCCAAAATGTCATAGTGATGGTAAACAAGAATTTGCCGATTATCAACCGGTACAACTTCATCAATGTGTTAAATGTAAAAAAACAATTGAAAAAGTTCAACCATTTTCATATTATGAAGATAATACGTATCATAATGATTGTTTTGTATGCAATCGTTGTGGTCTTAGTTTAGTTGATAAACCATGTACTCGTCTTGGTTCAGCTATTGTCTGTCCTAATTGCAATTAAAAAAAATATTTATTAAATCAACAAAATTCAACTTATAATTAAACCTATAATTCTGAACACCCTTTTCTTTTTCTTTTGCTTTTAAAAAAACATCAAATTCAAATCAACAATGTTAAAATTTATTTTATGTATCATCTCGAAGTTTTATCATAATAAAAACTATAAAATCAGTTCTATTTTCTAATGAGTTTTATATGATCAAATGAATTGATTTGAAAAAATAATAATATTACAGTTTCAGTCATATCGAGGTATTTTTATGTATGATTTACTTAATTACAAGTAATCAATACCAATATAGATAAAATCAAGTTCTTTTTTCTAATAATATATAGATGTTTGTTGTAAAAATATAATACTACTGGTTATATTACAACTTGCTAACTCACGCTAGAAAAACATTCTTTAGTAGCATCAAGTATCAATACATAAAATAAACACATTAGTGCAACGACACGCGGGGGAACATCCATAGGTTTCATCTTTCGTCAAACTATACTCCATGCGAGATTTTGAATAAGTGTTCAATATATAATATGATATTTTAACTTGGAGATTCTTTTTAAAACTATTCACATGATGTGTGATATGTCATTAAATGACTAGACATCAGTTTTTTCTATGAAATGCGTGACTTATTCGAACGAAAAATTATTGACAAATATTTATTTGCTTTAGAGTTTATTATACGAAAAAGTTATTATTAAAAAGACTATCAACAGCCATTTCTTCATTGATCAATTTGGGGAAAATCAGTAAGAGACTATTATTTGTAAGATATACTAGAAATATTAATCTATTTCCGATACGTTGAATACGTCAAATGCATTTTTACACTACAATATGTATATTAATCAGACGCTTATTAAAAATAAACAATTAGTTAGAATATACTTCATGTCATACGTCTATACTAAAATTTTTAGATGTAATAAAGAGGCTGTAGAAACTTTCTCAGTTGTATTTATGTCCTGTGTAGAGAAATACAAAACTGTACAACGATATACGAAGCAATACGGAAGTCATCTACAGACGATCGTTTTTTTGCTTTATATGTCATCGTACTTCTTCGCATACGACCTGAGTTCTTGAAATAAAATAAATCTTATAAAATTCAAAACGATAAAAATAAAAATAGTAATATATAGAATCTTTTATTATAGCAGTATTATGCTATTAATATCTGTAATGAATCATTCTAATATATGATTCATTGCCTATGATACGCTATTATGACTGTTAGGAAAAATATTTATTTATTTTTTTCAATCAGTAATGTTTAAGAGATCGATTTGACCATCGTTTTTTTAATTTTCTTAGATAAATTCAAAGCAGAGTATCTTGCCAACAGTAATCAACACAAGAAACTGTTCAAATAATATTATATTCATTAGATGGTGCATTATGTGATTTGAGGGTAAATGATATTAGAAAAGACAAAGTTTGTATACTGACATATTATAACACATTTTTTTCATCTTATAAATGTGCATAAAACGGTTTTTTTTAAACCTTGTTTATTTCTATATATACGTTTTGTGGTTTTTTGTTATGTTGAGAAAACGATGTTAAATGAGAAAGAGACGAATCTTCCAAGTCAGAAATAAAAGACAACAAAGAAGAATACTGAAGTTAATAATACTTTCAGAAATGTATGAAGAAGAAGAAGAACAAAAAATAACAAAAAAAAAAAAGAAACAAATGACGACGACAAAAAGAGAAAAGATTTGTTTTGGCTTTTTTTTTTCAATTGTACACGAAAGAAAACAAAACAATGAATCCGATAAACTGACAGACCGATAAAAACAAAAACAATAGTTTCAGTTAAGTATAACCTGGCCAATATAATTGTTGTCCAGCTGATTGTGCAGTACCAGCAATGGTTGGTGATGGTGATGTAATACCAGCTGCTTCCAATAAAGCAGGTGAAACTTCATAAACTGTTTGTGGAGATGATGTACCAGGATTTAATGTTGTTCCAACATTTGTAGCTGATGTTGTTGATAAATTTGCAAGATTAACATGTGAAAGTAGATTTGATGGCCATGTTGTTCCTGTACCACCATTAGTTGGTGTTAAATAAATTGGTTGTTGAAGAGTTGGTTGTTGTGCTAATGGATAATAAATAAGATTTGACCTAGATAAAATAAAATAGAAAAAAAAATTAATAAATTTTCTATTTTCGAAAATTGTTTTTGTTTTTTTT